CCAGAGGCAGATTCTCACTAAATTCACAGAGTAGAAATGCCACTGATTTTTTTTTTTACTATTTTGAATATAACTCTTTTTCTGGTTGGAGATTCACTTGGTTATTGCAGCTCCTTAACTGGTTCCTAGAGTCCTTACAAAACTACTTTGGTCCATATTTTTTTTGAATGTTTTTATGGGGGAGCAGGAGCCTGGAACTTCCTAGTATGATCTCCTACTGACATCACACTTTCAGGAAGATCTAATTTTAGAACCCTATTTAAGTCCATTTGGTTGTTCATTGCAGATTCAAAGCATACTGTCTTTACAAAATACAATGCATTTTGGTCCAAACAGATATGTAATAGTCATATAGGCTTTTCATATTCATGGTTCTCTTTATTGTCTCACACAGTGCTTCCTTAAACCATTCAAATAAACATATACCTTGTGACCAAATAAGCAAGACCTCAAGGAGTATCTTCATACTCTTCTCTACCTCTAAAAGGCTAAATGCTTTATTTCCTCCATATTACTGATCATATTCTTAAAACTATTAAATTTACTGATTTATTTTATGATTTTTTCTATACCCATTAACATGTAAGACCCATGAGGTCAGTGATCTGTGACTACTTTGTTCCATATTCTACCTCAAATGCCAAAAGAATGCCTGAAACATAGAAATATTTGTTGTATTAAGCTGGCTGATTTCCTGTTGCCCAAAGCCATCCTAAGTAAAAGTCTTATAAGTAGGTTCTTCTGGTGTTATTGGCAAGGTCATATTAGTAATAATATATATTTGTGAAATCACTGCATGAAAGAACATGTGGAAATCATTGAAGCCAAATCACTTGATTAACACACATTAATAAGAGGCCATAACATTTTATATCATTCTAATAAGTAGTATACACATATTTATTAATTTCATGCTCCAAGAAATTCTTGGAGGGAGGTAGTATTACTATCTTTATTTTGGTGATAAAGAAATAGAAGAGTGGAGAAATAAGTAACTTGCCAAGCCATACAGTTGGTAAGTGGCAGACTCTAGCATTTCAGAACAAAAAGCCCAGCTTTATTGTTTGTGCATCTAAACACTATATTGTAGTTTCTCTCTGGAAAACAACCAGTGGATAATCCTAAAGAAACTCCCAAGTAATCAGATAAGTTTTCAGGATGGAAATACTTCCCGGAACCCATGAGCTAACATTCTTCTAAATTATGAAATGCTGCATATATTTCTGTTAAAACTTTCTAAATGAGGGCTGGGGATGTGACTCAAGTGGTAGCACACTTTCCTAGCATGCGTGAGGCACTGGGCTCTATTCTCAGCACCACATTAAAAAAAATAAAATAAAGTTATATGTCCACCTAAAACTAAAAAATAAATATAAAAAACTTTCTAAATGAGAATACTTGTATTGTCACTCTTTTCAACATTAAGTGTCTTGACAATATTGAAATGAAAAAAATTAAACAAATGGTCCTTCCTCTGAATCTCTAGCCTTGGATTCTACCAGCAGTTTCAAATCATGTCACTTTCCCTCTGACCACACTAAATCATGCCCATAAGTATGAGTACCCACTTAACAACACCTCTTGCAGATGGTGACAATGGAGGTCCTATATGTCCCTTTGACTGAGAGGTTAACACTCAGATTTATTCATCCTTCAAATAGAACACTATATGCAGTCATAAAATCCTTTAGATAATTTCTGGCTCAGGCATTTACTATTACAGGTGACTGGGCAAGCTGCTTCATAGAGATGAACCTCAGCATCCTGAATAAGAAAATAAGGATACTAACACATTCTAGATTGAGTTGTGAAGGGTAAGTGAGTTCATGCAAGAAAAGAAGATCACACAATGCCTGGCACACCACAGGCAGTTGATGCAGAACAATTAGTTTGAAACAATATCATAATACATGGAATCTACACTCAACACCATGTAATATGTTTCACTCCTCTTTTCACACATATGCAATTTAATAAAGAAAACCAAAGTTCTGAAATTTGATTATGCTTTGACATATAAAGAAATTTGGGGCATGTGTACAACTACATTTGAATTCTCACTTTAAGGAAAGGTTGGTACAACCTGTCTGAGTACTTGGTTGTCTTTTATCTGAAGACAATGAAATAATATTTCAAGTAAGCATTCAGTCTATTGTATAATATACTAAGAAATCATGTATAGGCCTTGAGAGGAGAGCTGGAACAGAAAGAAAGAGTTGTGAAGGCTCATTAAACTGGGTTCCTTTAAAACAGGTCTGATTTGGGCTTCAATCTTAGTGCCTACTAGAGGGACAGATATAATGTTAATATATTTTATTTCACTTCTTTGGTTTTTATTCTCAAGTGCTCTTTGCTAACTGTGGGATTTAATTCAGACCAAAATTATGTTTTAGCCAATGTGGTGGTGCCCACCTGTAATCCCAGTGGCTTGGGAGGCTAAGGGGCAGGAGGATCTGAAGTTCAAAGCCAGCCTCACTAATAGCAAGGCACTAAGCAACTCAGTGAGACCCTGTCTCTAAATAAAATACAAAATAGGGCTGGGGATGTGGCTCAGTGGTCGAGTGCCCCTGAGTTCAATCCCCAGTACAAAATGTGTGTGTGTGTGTGTGTGTGTGTGTGTGTGTGTATGCAGTCATAAAATCCTTTAGATAATTCTTGGTATAACTGGAATTATCTAAATAATTGATAATTCAAGATATAACTGGAAAGGAACAACAAAGGCCAATTGTGTGTCAGATACTTTAATTGGCAATACATTGAGAGAAAGTAAAAGAGTTATATCTAGGAGGCCAATTATGGGGGGGTGTCACTGTTTCTTCTTGCCTATTGATATAATTCTGAAGTTTTTTTAAGGAAAGGGAGACCATAGGCTCTTGTGCATGTCTGAAATTTATTTTTTTTCAGTGAGAAAATACACATAATCTTAACTCAGAATAATATGCTAATGTTCAATGGCTATTGGGAATAGGAACATTTGGTTGATGTAATCATAAGAAGATGAGAATAGATATGGCTTTGTATGTGTTAAACCAGATCGTACTTTTGAGATACTGGGTTCAGAAATAAATTACCCACAGAGGAAGATTTCTATCAGAGGTCCATGTTGCTACATTGAAGAAAAAATTACCTTTTTAACAAATGTGCTCAGAAAACTGGAAAACCATAGGTAGAAGAATGAAACTTGACCCTTATTTCTCACCCTGAACAAAAGTCAACTCAAATACCTAGAAATTAGACCAGAAACTCTGAAATTGCTAAAAGAAAATGTAGGCCCAACATTCCAACATACTGGCACTGAAATTGACTTCCTTAACAAGACTCCTAAAGCACAAGAAATAAAAATTTTAAAAAATCAATAACTGGTATTGCATCAAATTAAGATGTTTCTGCTCAGCAAAAGAAATAATTAAAGATGTGAGGAGAAAGTATATAGAATGGGAGAAGATCTTTGACACCTGCTCCTCAGACAGGGGATTAATATCCAGAATATATAAAGAACTCAAAAACTTAATAGCAATGGAACAAATAACCCAGTTTATAAATGGGCAAGAGAACTAAACAGACACTTCTCAAAAGAAGAAATACAAACGACCAATAAATATATTTTTAAAATGTTCAACATCTCTAACAATCAGGGAAATGCAAATCAAAACTACATTGAAATTTTATCTCATTCCAGTCAATATGGCAATTATCAAACAAATAAATAATTGTTGGTGAATATGAGAGGGAAAGGTACATTCATACATTGTTGGTGGGACTGCAAATTGTGCAAACTGCTCTGAAAAGCAGTACAGAGATTCCTCAAAAAACTAGGAATGGAACCACCACATGAACCAACTATCTCACTCCTTGGTATACATCCAAAAGATCTAAAATCAGCATAATATAGGAATACAGCAATATCAATGTTTATAGCAGCACAATTCATAATAGCCAAACTATGAAACCAACATACATAATAGAGTATTACTCAGACATAAAGAGGAATAAAATTATGGCATTTGCCAGTAAATGGATGGAACTTGAGACCATTGTACTATGTGAAATAAGCCAAGCCCAGAATGTGAGGGGGAAAAAAGAAGAAGAAAAGGAGGAATTCTCTTAAAATAGTAGAAAGATCAATGGAGTAGAGGATGGGGATTGAGGAAGAGGGAGGAGGAACAGAATAAGGGAAGAACAGTGGAATGAATCTGACCTAATTTTACTATATACATATACATATATATATATATATATATATATATATATATAATAAAATTCCATGTTGCCACAGAATTTACTTTCACTGGGCAAGCTGCCGAGGAATAGTTAAATACATACATAGGTATGTACTTTGTTTCAGTACCATGAAACTGGATAATACAGACACATAAGGCAGGAACAAAAGAAGTAATGATGTGTAACAATCCTGAGACACAGCCAGGTGTGGTACACACCTGTAATCCCAGCAACTCAGGAGCCTGAGGCAGGAGGATTGTAAGTTAAAGACCAGCCTCAGCAAATTAGTGAGACCCTAAGGACTTAGTGAGACCCTTTCTCAAAATTTTAAAGAAACATAAAAAAGAATTGGGAATCTGGCTCAGTGGTCAAGCAACTCTGAGTTCAATGCCCATTACAAAAAAATAAAATAAAATCCTGTGTCACAGACACAACCCTATAGTGAAATATGTAAGAAATGAAAAATAGTCATGTGTTGTATCAATACACCTAGTCTATTATTTTTTTGCTGATGGTGAATGTATTTGACTTTCATTCCCTTCTGTAAACAGACTTTCCCAAAGGGAAGGAATCCCTTTATGCCTCACTATATTTCTAGGTGGGTGGCAGAGAAACATTACAGAAGAGATCAGGAAAAAGGGCACAACTAAACCAAGACACTAATATTAACATAAGGTCTGGCACAGAGATCCACGTCTACCAAGAGTTACTGCTGTGTCTTCTCCAGAAGTCCTACTATGATGCAATGTTCTTCTACAGCCAATGAGGAGCAGGCAGATTGGAACCACGGAATCTCAGGCATGTTGAGGAAGTGGAGAAGGCGGTCATCTCTAAGGAGAGGGGCATGGGGTAAGTATGAAAACAACAGAATTGTTTTAAAGTTTATTAAAGGAATACTTAAACCCCTATATCCATTCTAAGATCCACTCAGCCATACATATTCTTCCCTGAAGCCAACAGAACATGGGAGGCTTATCTTCTGTACTTATTTGTTTATGAAAGCTGTAAATTTGGGCACATTACACATATGGAACAGCATATGAGAAAATTTCCCAAGAGAATTAGGTGAAATTCAGAACTCTGAATGTTTACCAGACTATACCAGGCCACACAGCCCTTTCAGCTGCCAGAAAACTCACTGATATCTAACATCTAGGCAGAGACATCTGTTTTACTGATGCTGTCTTATCAGCCTGTGTCTTATCTTCCAGAAAGCCTTGGGATTAATCAGTGACTGTCTTTGTATATGTTACCAGAATTAGTTTAAAATAAAGGTGATCCAGAAACATTTTCATGCCTCGGCAAGACACAGAGAGATACAACCAGTATAGTCTGTAGGCCACACTTCTTAAATGGCCTTTCTAATACTCAAATTCTATCACAGAGCCAATAGTATTGAAGTGTCAAGGATACAACTTTGAGGGAAACAACAGTCCACAATTTGTGGACTGATTCATGAATTCTGACCTTCCTGTTCAGTTTTTTTTTTTCAGACCCACACAAGAGATCAGAAAAAGGTTAGTTGGCTGTGCCTATTAATCATCATGATTAAAAATATCAGTGTGAAGACATTGGTATGGAATCACTGTCCCACCAGAGTGCCCAGACCCTAGATTGGATAGGAGTGATTGGGGAAGCCTCAGTTCCACATTCAGGGTTGTCATGGTAACCTGTTAACAGTAATTACTTAAGACTACTGGCTGGAAATTGGCAATGCTGATTATATTAACATCTTTATATTCTCTCGTGATTTCTAAAGCATTTGCTTCTCTTCCAACACACAGCATATGTAGCATTTTTAATCAGAAAAGAGGTTTAGATTGAAGAGAAGAGGTCAACTAAATAAATTGTTTCCCAAAAAATCTCATAAATAATTTTTATTTTAATTTGTTATATATGACAACAGAGTGCATTTCAATTTATATTACACATATAAAGCACATTTTTTTCATATTTCTGGTTGTACACAAAGTAGAATCACACCATTCATGTCTTCATACATGTACTTAGGGTAAAGATGTCCATCTCACTCCACAGTCTTTCCTAGTCCCATGCCCACTCTCTTTCTCTTCCTCCCCTTTGCTCTCTCTAGAGTTCATCTAATCCTCCCATACCCCCTTAACCACATTATGAATCAGAATCCTTAAATCAGAGAAAACATTTGGCATTTGGTTTTTGGGGATTGGCTAACTTCATTAAGCATTATATCCTTCAGCTCTATCCATTTACCTGAAAATGCCATGATTTTATTCTTTTTTAATGCTGAATAATATTCTATTGTATATATACCACAGTTTCTTTTTTTAAAATCTTTATTTAATCATCTTTATGTGGTGCTGAAGATCAAACCCAGTACCTCACATATGTGAGGCAAGTAAGTGCTCTACCACTGAGCTATTGCTCCAGCACATACCACAGTTTCTTTATCCATTCATCTATCAAAGAGCATCTAACGTTGTTTCAACAGTTTATTTATTATGAATTGTGCTGCTATAAACATTGATGTGGCTGTGTCCCTGTAGTATGCTGTTTTTAAGTCCTTTGGGTATAGATGGAGGAGTGAGATAGCTGGGTCAAATGGTGGTTCCATTTCCAGTTTTCCAAGAATTCTCCATACTGCTTTCAATCCCAATGACATTCCTCATAGGAACAGAAAAAGCAGTCATGAAATTCATCTGGAAAAATAGGAGGCCCAGAATAGCTAAAGCAATCCTTAGCAAGAAGAATGGCAGGTGGCATCACTATACCAGACCTTAAACTATACTACAAAGCAAGAGTAACAAAAACAGTATGGTATTGGCACCAAAATAGACTTGTAGACTAATGGTACAGAATAGAGGACACAGAGACTAACCCACATAATTACAGTTATCTTATATTAGACAAAGATGCCAAAAACGTACATAAGAGAAAAGATAGCCTCTTCAACAAATGGTGCTGGGAAAACTGGAAATCCATATGTAACAAAATGAAATTAAACTCCTATCTCTCATAAATGATTTTTATGTTTTATGTGAATTAAGATCTCCATAAAGTCTTATTTTAAAATATACATGCATATACTATTGAAATAATAAGGCAGTAAAGAAGATTGATAGCTGTATTATTGATCAATGCAATTCAAGTGATTTTAATTAGCTCACCTATATTTTTCCTCTAGTAACTACAGTTTAACAGACAAAAATTTCCTAGTTAAGATCCAAGAGAGAGTAAACAGTTATAAACATAGAAAGTATGGAAAAATATCATCAATATACAAATTGCATTTTCCTTTTATTAGCAAAACATCAAAAAGTTTAAAAAGGAACATATAAATCACCTATTCATCCTCTCCAACATACATGAAAAATGTATTGCTTTAAGATATTGGCATGCTTTCTCCTTTCTGATGTGCACCTATAAAAACTGAGATCTTAATTATAAAACAATATTTTGATTGTGATACATATTCAAGTTCATATAAGAATAATGAGAAGTCACCTTGATTTTCCCAAAACAATTATTATAAAACGTCTCACTGAAATAATACTGACCATCCCACTGATTGAAAGTATGTTATTTATCATTTCATAATAACATGTGTGATTTTGCTGCAGTTTCCTATATTTTATTTCTATTAACAGGCCTTGGGCCAAGATTAGTGTATGTTTACACATAACAATGTGAGGATGGTAAACCAATTGTTCTTTTAGCTAGTTGAAAGAGCTGGTTAATGTGATATTTTTTTTATCCAAGATGTGTAGTTTGTGATCAGCTGTGCTCTGGGAAATTCCATCTCTTGACTTTGAATCCAATATTCTGGCCAGTAAATTCAGTTTTATACTCCTCATTTTCTTGACTTACTAGGACTCACATATAACACAGGAGGTAATATTGAGGGACTAAAAAGGCACATATCATTAAAAAAAAGGGGGGCCTGGCTTTCTTAACTAGTATCTTGTGTTTCAGGAGCTGGAGGGAGAGGATTTCCACGCAATTCCTGGACCTCCAAGGTATAAAAGGTTAAAGAATGGGAGCACAAGACTAAATTGTGTTCTTTCTGTTTTAACTTCGGATGTGGTGTTTTAATATTTTTATTCATGGTAATTTTTCCTTTCATATTATGTGATTTGGATTTTGTAGTTCTGTACTTATTCTATCAGTGGATGAGAGGAGAACAGAACAATTCTCCATTTTCTCTTTTTAACTTATTTTTTTTTTGGACAAAAATGGCACATCATCATTTTAATACAATGTGAACTTTGAGATCAGGCTAAGACAATTTCTAAAATCATGGAGATTCACTGTGAGGACAGAAAGAAATGGAATAGTCATAGGCCTACAAAGTGAAAGGGTGGCAACTGAATAGGCCAAGATCAGCAGTGTCTATATAGTTCTCTTCAGGAGACACCTTAAGTGGATCAGAGAGTATCAATTGAACCAATGATCTTAGAACATTTAAAGAGCTCTGAGATGTGTAGGTGAATATTCTCTAACAACGATTTATTTTATCATCACATTAATCTGTTTGACAGACCCCACAATTGTTACAGAAAAAGGTTTTCTATTCTAATAGAGAAATCAGTGTTTGTACTTATTTTTCAGGTAGGATCTGTGTCCAGAGGAACGGCATGAGGACCTTTCCTATTAAAAGTAAAGAAATAAGATGAAGCTAGTGAATGTAGTAATTAAATTGTTGTTTATGAGATTAGGCTGAATGGGTGCAACACTGCTTAGATTGTTTTCTAATTTCCAACTAAAATTAACCCAATCTTCAATGGGGGTGAACTCTCCTAGTTCAAAGACCTGGTGGCAGTAGGATATTGAAGGACAGATATCTTTACCTTAGTTCCCATCACAGGCTTCAGAAACCCTCCACCAGATCTGTTACATACAGTGGAGCTTTTTCTGAGGGAATGCTTCCCAGGGCTAGATGAAGAGAAAAATGACAGACCTGATAGGGACTACTAGAGTGAGGAAATTTCCTTTCTTTCTGCAGTCAATCAATGACCCAGATGAGGAACCTGTAGCCTTTGTTGTCTTGATTGATATTATGCAGAACCAATTTGAAGACAGTGGCATACCAAGCCAAACTGCTGCTCCCCGTGAGCCTTGGAAGTCCCCATTTAGGAGAATTATGGATTGTTTTGTAAGATGCTTTGGGTAAGAACTATTCTCCAATATTTCACCCTCTGATTATCTCCTCCAAATTGTTTCCCATTTCTGATAAATCAGAACTAACTCAAAAGTTCCCCCAAGATAAGCTGACCCTTTGCTTTCCTTTGTAGGAGAAATTCCATGTCCTGAGACCATGCATGCTGCAAACACAGAGCCATGAATGGATATAAAGACCCCATCCACGGCAACATTTCCCCCTTTGTTGTAACTCTGTTGATTGTTTTATAATAAATGCTTGGACGCTTGATTATTTTTATGGTGCCTATCCATACAGGAAGAAACTTCAGATGGGATGGAGATTGTTAGGGTTGGAAGGGGTTGGGGATTCACTAGAGAGAACTACTACTTTATTTAGCCCTAAGAGCCTGTAATGCCACCATCAAGGTGGAGATTGCCTCTTTTTTAAACTGATTATATTTATTCCCACATTTGTATTGATGCATTATAGTTATGCATAATGATGAGATTTGTTGTTGCATATTCATACATGCACACAATATAACAATATAATTTGGGATTGGATATTCCCTCTTAAATAGGACTATCACCAATAGACAGTGTTATTTTTCCACATAGATGTTGGCACTTAACCTGAGAGGGACTATTCCATGTGGAAACTGAGAAGAAATAATCTCTCTCCCTAACCCTCAGCTTTCTAAATATACCAACACCTCATATAGAAGGCAGGTGAGCAGTGACTTGAGGACAATATTAGAAATGAAGTTGTCTCAGAATTCTAGAGAAAGGCTTTAATTTTATTATAATCAGCTCACAAATATTACCACTCTACCCTCAACAATATAGCGTCCCTCCCTCAGTATCCTGTTGGTTTTTCTCATATTACATGATTTTCCTCCCCTTAATATCCCGATAGGTAATTGAATATAATATTTTCCAAGAAAGAGGAAACATTTTTGATCATGATTGATTGACCCTAAATGCCACACACCTTGGTAAGGCCTCTGGAGAATTTGTTTTAGAATTTTTTAGAATATTCCAGAATGAACATACAGTATTATTTACTAGTTAATATGATCAAAAAGCATTCAACAATAATTGGAAGTCTAGGTAAATATTGTTGCTTGTAATAACTTTTTAATTTTTATTTATTTTTATTGATTTTATTTTATTTTTATTGATTTTTTTAAATACATGACAGCAGAATACAGCACATTTCTTATTACACATATAGAAAAATTTTTCATACCTTTGTTTGTATGTATATAAAGTATGTTCACACCGAATTCATGTCTTCATACATGTACTTTGGATAATGATGTCTATCACATTCCACGATCCTTGCTAATCCTCTGTCTTGTACCTTTCCCTCCCACCTCTCTTCTCTATCTAGAATTCATCTATTCCTCCCATGTTCTCCTTCCTTATCCCACTATAAGTCAGCCTCCTTATATCAGAGAAAACATTCGACATTTGTTTTTTGGGGATTGGGTGACTTCACTTAGCATTATCTTTTCCAATGCCATCCATTTACCTGCAAATGCCATGATTTTATTTTTTTTTATTGCTGAGTAAAATTCCACTGAGTATATATGCCACATTTGTTTTAATCCATTCATCCACTGAAGGGCATCTAGGTTGGCTCCAAAGTTTAGCTATTGTGAATTGTGTTGCTATAAACATTGATGTGGCTGTATCCCTGTAGTATGCTGTTTTTAAGTCCTTTGGGTATAGACCTAGGAGAGGGATAGCTGGGTCAGATGGTGGTTCCATTCCCAGATTTCCAAGGAATCTCCATACTGCTTGTAATAACTTTTTAAAATCAAAGTTTTAAAAGTTACTTACCCCTTGGAATAGAGTTCTTCTGCTCTATTCCAAGGGGCAAGTAAACCAAAAGCAGATGTCAAAATCAGTCACTTGTCACATACAAATTCATAAATTAAAGGATATTCTACAAAATTTGGAGAACAAGGAAAAAATCCTTTGTAAAATCTGATGAAAATCATGAATACAGCTGAAAAATTAGGCACCTCATGATATTTTATATGGAATTTTAGTAATGAATTTAATCAATATGTTGCATAAAATAAAACCAATCATACAAAAACATTATGAGAAAAAAAGAGGAGGGGACACATTTTAATTCATTTTATGAGACCAGTATTATTCTGGTAACAAAGTTAACAAAGACATTAAAAGAAAGCTACAAATCGATATTGCTTGTTAACATAGATACAAAAATTCTTAACAAATTATTATCAAGTTGAATACAATATTATATAAAATGATAATACACTGTGGCCAGGCATGGTGGCACATGCCTATAATCCTAGGAGCTCAGGAGGCTAAGGCAGGAGGAATTCAAGTTCAAAGCCAGCCTCAGAACAAGCAAGGTGTGAAGCAACTCAGTGTTTCTAAAAAAAAAAAAAAAAAAATACACAATAGGGTTGAGGATGTGGCTCAGTGGTTGAGTGCCCCTGAGTTCAATCCCTGGTACTACATCATCATCATCATCATCATCATCATCTACTGTGAACAGGTAAATTTTAGCCCAGAATGCAAGATTGGCTTAACATTAAAAATCAATCAAAATGGAAAACTTTTGCTCTGCAAAGGACCCTATGATGAGGATGAAAAAACAAAAAGTTTGTGAGAAAACATTTGCAACACATATCTGACAAAGGACTAATATCTAGAATATATTTAAAACTCTCAATGGTCAACAATCAAAAATATTCCAATTTAAAAATGAGCAAAAATACATGCACAGACATTTCACAGAATAGGATGTACAGATGGCAAAACAAATCTGTATGGTTTATGACATCTTGCTTTATGTCAACTATGAAGAGGTCCAACTTCATTAGTTACCAAGGAAATGCAAATTAAAACCATAGTGAGATCTCACTGCACATTTATCTCAGTGGCAAAAGCAAAAAATAGTGACAACAATGACAAATGCTGACAAAGGAGCAGAGAAACGGGATCACTCATACATTGCTGTTGGAAACCTAAATGGTATAGTAACCCTCAGCTACTGAGACAGATAGACCAGACCACCCATAGGCAGCCAGGAAATGGGTCCCAGAGAAGGAAAGGAGGAAGAAAGGATTTGGAAATCAAGCTTCTAACCCCAGCTGGTCCTAGCCACAAGGACTGTTCCTTAATAGCCCCTAGACATGACCAACTTCCCAAGGTACTTCCTTTTGTGACAACAGACCCTCACGCCAATGTTTGTGCTGATAAACACTTAGAAATCACTTTTCTCCAGATTTTCTGAAGAAGACACAATACAGCTAGTTGATTGGCCCTTTCTGAATCCTACCAGTCCATCAATCAATTATAGGGACAGATCAAGCCAGACACTTGTTGGATTCCGTTTCTTAGAAACCCTCCCTCTTCAAGAGCTCTATTTTCTTTCTATTACTCTAGGAAATCTTATTACTTTGCTCTCACCCTTGTGTCTGTGGATTTTATTCTTCAAATTTGCAAGAAAAAAATGCACCTGACATTTGTCCTCCACATTATAATACCATATGACCCCCAACAAATGCTCTCTTGAGCATTTATCCTAGATAAATGGAAATTTATGTTCACACAAAAATCTGTACACATTTAAGGTAGTATTGCTTTTATTTTAATCAGAAACTAGAAGTAACCAAAATGTACTCAAATAGGTGATTATCACAATAAATAGTGCTATATTCATACCATGGAATACTAATCAACAATAAAGGCATAAACTATTGACATAAGCAACAACTTGGATTTATCTCAAGGGCTTTATACACAGTGAAAATAAAAAGAGCACATACTGTATGATTCCATGTATATAACTTTCTTGAAATGTCAAAGTTATAGAAATGGTGAACAACTTACTGCTTGCCCGTGGTTATGGGTGGAATAGGGAACAGGAAAATGGGAGTGGCTATAAAAGGGTAACAAGTGGAATCTTTGTGGTGTTTGAAATATTCTGCATCTTGACTTTGGTGGTGAATACATGAACCTGCACAGGTAATAAAACAAAAAACATACAGACATATTTAAACACACCCATGGAGATAAAACTAAAGAAAAAAATTTTTTTGAGGAAATTGAAACTGTAATTGTGTGGGTTTTTTTTTTTAAAGAATAATATCACTATTCAGGAAAAAGTCAAAATATCTCATGAGATTCAGTCAAAGCTCTACTCATTTCAAATATATAGCATTAAATGTTATCAATACAAAACCATTCCCCACACAAAATAGGAATATTTAATAATTATATAAAATTTAAACATATTGTAATATTGAGGAATGAGATGTGATAAACAATAAAATTTAAAGAAACAATAAAAAGTAGAGTTCACATATGCAAAACTGTTTCTTAAAAGTAATTATTAGAAATTTATGGATATAGTCTCCAGAAAGAGTATAAAGCACAATTATTTTAAAAATGAATAACGAAGTTGAAATGAACTTCTAAATTTAATAAAAAATCAAAATTATAAGCTTATATACTATAAAACTTGATGGTAGGAAAAATGTCAATGCCTAACTACTCTTAATTTCAGAGTATAAAATGGCAATATTTGAAGTGGAAAAAAATGATAAATCATCATTTAAAAATTATTCCTCAAAATATTTTTAGTTCTCGGTGGACACAACATCTTTGTTGGTATGTGGTGCTGAGGATCGAACCCGGGCCGCACGCACGCCAGGCGAGCGCGCTACCGCTTGAGCCACATCCCCAGCCCCGTCCTCAAAATATTTTTACCAATAAACTTTTCAATTTTTAAGAGGTTAATTCTTGTTTTTATGAATAGGAATTCATAAAAAAGCATTCCAATTAATGATTAACTTAATTTAATTAATTTGAAAATCATAAACCTAATTCTAAAATCTGACAAAGTATCACACTGACAAAATATATCCATAGTCTAATCCATTTTTAAATATATAGACAAAACATCTATGTGTGAAATAGCAAATGAAATTTAGCAATATCTTAATGAAATAATACACTTAAACCAGTGATGGCTGAGTTATGAATTCATTAACAATTAATCACAGAAATAGATTAAAATCTCTCTAAAAATGGAATAAAATATGAAAAAATCTTACTATTTATCCCCAAAACTAAAGAAATCTGTACAAGATCAGTCAATTGTATGAATGTCAATATCCTGGCTAAGATATTGTGCTGTAGATTTGCGGAAAGTTATCATTGAGAGGAAGTAGGCAAAGGGCATATAGGCTATTTCTGTATTATTTTCTACAACTATGTCTGAATCTATATTTATCTCAA